GGCCGATGTGGTGCGGAAACTGGTGGACGAGGACTATGCTGACAAGGAGCGGATAGTGCTGGTGATGGACAACCTGAATACGCATCATCCGTCATCACTGTACGAGGCCTTTGAGCCGGCGGAGGCGCGGCGCATCGCGGAGCGGCTGGAGATACATTACACACCCAAGCACGGCAGTTGGCTGAACATGGCAGAGATCGAGATCGGCGTGATGGCCCGGCAATGCCTCGACCGCCGCATCCCGGACCGGAGCGTCCTGCGGAGGGAGGCAGCAGCGTGGCAGGCTCAGCGCAACCGGGACGGCATACGAGTGAACTGGCGCTTCACCACCGAGGATGCCCGAATCAGACTAAAGTCCCTATACCCATCAATACAACACTGACGTAACACTAGAGCTTACGGAGATGAAATTCTGCAATCGCTTGATCACGAAATGGGTCTTGGCAGTCCTGTTGCCTAATCAGAGAATGTTACCGAAAGTCTAGCCATTATTTCCCACCATAACCAAGACCAATTTCACCTTCTTGTAACTTCGAATTCGACGATATCGACATCGATGTCCCGCTGGGGGAACTCCTGGTCGAGGCGTCCAAGGAAACTCCCCGGTGGCGCGTGATGTTGACCCCGCTGTCCGGGGCGGCGGGTGAGCCGGACAGCGAGTCCACGCCAGGGCGGGGAGACAGGGTCATTTAGTTCACCCGCGCTGGCTTGCAACTCCCGGGAGAATTCAGGCGTGTACTGGAGGAGCTCGAGGGATGGCCAGCTTCTCTCTCCCACTGCCGGGGCCGTGTTCTTGTTGCTCAGGTTGGCGATGGCCGCCGCAAGGCACGCGATATCCCCTCATGCTGAGTGCGGGGGGTCGGGCATATTCCAGCCACTGCAAACGCGTAGGTAGCCGCGCCGGCAAGGGATGGTTGCCGTCGGCTGGTTCCTGATAAATCCTTACTGGGCAGCCCGTCTGCGGACGGGCTGCTCGTCGCCGTGAGGGGTTCGCGGCGGGAGGTGCCGGCCACCGCAAGGGACGGTGGTTGTTCGCTACGCGATAGGTGCAATTATCGCGCATAGGAAAATGGATTTCCGGATCCCCGAACAGGAGGGCCGTTATGACCGACAGTGCCCGCCCCCTCTGCGACTGCGACGAGCCCTGCGGCTGTTACGCAGAGGGCTACGCCGCCGGCAAGGACAAGGCCTACTTCGAGGTGCTGGCCAGCCTTGAGGGACCACCCCACGCCGAGGACTACGCCTGCCAACCCTGCTAGGTGAAGCGGGCCTGCCTGCAAAAGGTGATGACGCTGATCGCCAGAAGCTCGCCCGTGATCTTCGAGCTGGTGGAAGTCTGGGCCCTGGAGGAACATGACAATCGGCACTGAAATTGAGAGCGTTCCCCGAGAAACGCCAGCGCTCCTTCCGATGCTTCCTGAGGGAGCGCTCACCACGCGGCTCGACACCTTGGCCCTGGACGACGCCATGGCCAAGGCCCGCAGCTGATCCCCCAACAGCAGGTGCTCCTACGTCGCCGGATGGAGGGCCTTCACCAGCTGATGCTTGGATCATCGGTGCGCTGGCCTACCGGCAGCTCCGGGCGACGTCGGCCGTTACCTGTATCACCTGGTGGAGACCGACGGCAGGATGATGGCCACCGCGCGCACGCGCTTGGTGGTGATCGCCGCGGCGTACCTCCTGGGCTGATACCCGACGTCGCGGTGGCCGGTCAAGGTCACGCTGAGGGCCTGACCAGCGAGCCCCTGTGATCAACGGCAATTAGTCTTGCCGTTCCCGTTGAGTCACCGGAAGAGCTGCGGGCGGAATCGTAGGCCGACTGCGCGCTGTGGTCTACACCGCCCTCAGATCCGGGCCGTCCGCCCGGCCAGACCTGCCGGAAGGGGACAGATTTGAGCATAGCTAGAACTCGGCTCGTCGTAGCATCACCCCGCCATGCCAGAACCGGGGGCCAGCGAAAGATGAGCGGAGGACTCTTCGGATGCGCCCGTGCAGGCCCCGTAGGAGTGGTCGATAGACTTGAGTGCCAGGACTTTGGCCAGTAGGTGGGTTCTTGTTCCCATTTACCTCCCGTATTATATCGGCTCGGCTTTGCAGGATACTGGATTGATCAGCCCCGGCGATCGTTCGGGCTCTGTCGGGAAAGAGTGCGGCGACCCTCGCAATATGACGGCCGGTGATGACCAATGTCACGCTGGTCTGCCGCACTCGGGAGCATCCTGGTTACACCTTCTTCAGGAGGCCCTGATCAACGACAATTAGTTTTGCCGGCCCTGTTGCCTCGGCAGAAATAGTTGACGCTGAACACCTCCCCAAGCCTTCCCAACTACCCGGTCATCCTATGATCCCAACCGTCGTCGACATACTGAGATATTGGTTGGATGATCGGGCCTGATCTTGCTTATCAAGCGTGCGCAGCAACTCACTCCGTCGCTCCCCAACAATGTGGACGAATAAGTCTTCAGCAATTGACAGGAGGCAATTATGGAAATTTTGTGAATGTGGACAAACATAGTTATGAGAACATTGTGAGAAACCTGCTGGAAATAGGTGGTAACAGTATATTTCTCACACCAATGGTTGGTACGATGAGTCGCCTACCGATGCCCAGACCTGCGAGTTCCGACCTTGAAGGCGCTCCGGAGCTTCCTTGCTAATGGGAAATTGCCCGGTCGACATACTCTGCAAGATCCAAGCTGGGTCAGTTAAACAGTGATGTAGTTGGGTGGGCTGTTCCACTACCCTCAAAAATTCAAGAGGAAGACAATGAGCCTTTTACAAGCGAATGCCGCAACTACCGAAGCTGAAGTGCTCAGGAAAGAAAATGAAGTACTGAAGGAAAGGCTGGCAAGGCTGAGCAAAGCCAGCATTAGAATCTCCGAAAACCTGGATGCCGAATCCGTTCTCCAGGAAGTTATCAACAGCGCCTGAGTGCTGACCGGCGCCCGGTACGGTGCGCTCCTGACCTTCCAGCCTGCGGGCGGTGTTCGCGACTTCTACATTTGTGGCCTCTCGCAGGAAGAACGCGATAGCATGATGCAATCTCCCCAGGGACTGGGCCTTTTGGGATATATAAGCAGGGTCAAGGGTCCAGTAAGGCTGAAGGACATGGCAACCCACCCTGACTCTGTGGGTCTTCCGGCAGGCCACCCGCCCATGAAGACTTTTCTGGGAATGCCGATCCACCATCGCAGCGAACATGTCGGCAACCTATATCTCACGGAAAAAGAGGGAGGGCAGGAGTTTACCCAGGAAGATGAAGACATCGCGGCGATGTTTGCTGCCCAGGCTGCGTCGGTAATCTCCAACTCCCGAAGGTATGAAGCGGAGCACCGGGCAAAGGTGGATCTGGAAACCCTGATGGACATCTCTCCCGTGGCAGTCGCCGTCTTCGACGCCCGGATAGGCGAGATGACTTATATGAATCAGGAATCCCGACGACTTCTGGGTTCAATGGGGATTCCGGATGAGGACCTTGAAAACCTCCACGAGTCCTTGACATTTACCAGATCTGACGGGCGAGAAATCCCCTTCGCAGACCTTCCTGGAACCAGGGCGCTTCAGTCTGGCGAGACTGTGAGGGCCGAAGAAATCGTCATCCAACTCCCGAACGGAAATACCATAACCACCTTGGTAAATTGCGCTCCCCTCTTCTCTGAATCAGGGGAAATAGAATCGGTGATGTCCGTCATGCAGGACATGACCCCCCTGGAGGACCTAGAACGACAAAGGGGTGAATTCCTGGGGTTGGTCAGTGAAGAGTTGAGAACGCCTGTGGCAACCATCAAGGGTTCTGCCGCCGCTCTCAAAAGCATAGTCGAGCCCTTGAACACAAATGAGTCAATGCAGCTGTTGCGCATCATTGACCAGCAGGCAGACCTGATGCGCAGCCAGCTGAACAGCCTCATTGAGCTGACCCAGATTGAGACGGGTACGTTATCGGTGGTTGCCGAGTCAGCGGATGTAGCGGGACTGATAGAACGGTCCTGCGGAGAGTATCTGAGAGACTATGCCGCGATAGCCATCCATTTGGATATCCCTGAGGGGCTGCCGAAAGTGATGGCTGACAGGCACCGCATAAGCCAGGTGTTGCACAATTTCATCCGCCGGGCGGCCAAACACTCGAACGAGTCGTCGCCAGTCAAAGTATCTGTTTCTGTGGTAGACATCTACGTCGCCGTCTCGGTCTCAGTGGATGGCATATTTGCTTCTCCGGAGAGACCATCTGCGCTGCGCCGTTCAAAACTACGGAAACCCTTGGAATATTCAAGAAAATTACTCAGTCTCACAACAAAGCGGCTGAATTGTCTTCACCGAAGGCGAGGGGCGGGCGCTTGCCTTCTGCTGCTGCGCGCGTCGTTGAGGTGCGCACGAATGTCGCATCATAGGACGTCCCGGGATGACAGAGGCAACCTGACTCTGACCTTCACCTCTCCTGTCAGTGGGAGACGCAGACGAAATTCAGATCCCCGAAATACGGAGATTGCGGAGGCCATTGCCGGTCCCGCGGGAGGACTCAGATCCGTCGTCGTCATTGAGACCCCAAATTAATGAGCACAGTTCGCAAAGTTCTGTTCAACGCGGGCTACGGTGCCGTAGCAATGGCTGGCCTGGACGAAGTTGAGCAACTTACGTCGTCGGAAGGGGCGAAACTGATTCTCTTGGATATTGCCGACAGAGAGGAAGAATGCTTCCGCGCCATGCGGCAGGCCCGGCAATGCACTAAAACCGGCCGGCAATTGGGCTATGGCACCGAAAAAAAACGGAAAACACAAAACCCCAACGAAAAACAGATGAACACCAGAACCAGACAAACTGGCGAACAACCCTGAGAAACGGAACACAGAAAGATCTATGAAGCAAGAAGGTAGAACTAAAACAAAACAGAACGAGATGCAATAGACGAACGCAACCAAAGGCACCCCAAGAAGAAAACAAAAAAAAACGGGACGGATGAGGAATATGTCGTTCGCCGCTTTCGATATGGGGCGGACGGCTATATGGTGAAACCCTTCTCGCCTTTCGAACTGATTGCAAGGATAAAAGCGACCCTTCGAAGGTTGACCGTCGGCGGAGAAATTACTGGCAACAAGACGTTCCAATCGGGTGATGTGCTGATCAATTTCGATGAGCGAATCGTCTACGTATCAGGTCAACCGATACAACTGACGGCGACGGAGTACAGACTGCTCACCGAACTCTCCAATTCCGCAGGCAAGGTTCTCATACAGGATGTGTTGCTACAGAGGGTTTGGGGGCCGGAGTATTCGGGGGAGCCCCAGCTTTTGCGCTCCTACATAAAGTCCCTTCGCCAGAAGCTCGGGGACAATGCCAGGAATCCCTCGTATATCTTCACCGAGCATGGCATTGGGTACCGTATGGCAAAGTCTAATCCCATGGCTAATCTCCCCGGGCCCTTGAGTTCGGAACCCTCAAGCACTGAGGGAGCCGCCCAAAGGAGCAAGCCGGCCCTGCTGAGGAACAGCCCCCGGCTCCGCTACTTCGCACAACGACAGGAATTCAGTAGTTAGTAAGCTCCTTTCAGGTTGTTTCACTTAAACTGAAGGCCGCAGACCCTGAATGTCCCGGCTAAAGACGAGGCGGCTCAAATCTGCTCCCAGTGGCTGTACCACTGTCCGAGTTAGGTCGGCCTGTACCGGGATACGGTGTGTAAGACGTTGCTCCGGCATCCAAAGCTGGATCCCTGACATTGGGCGGTTGAATATTGTCATTCTGCCCCGGTGGTGACACCTGAGCAGGGTGGTCTTCGGACTAGCATCGGGTCAGCTACGGAGCGGTCCGCGTTTGTGACACTGGGCCACAATTCCCTCTCTTCAGCTTGTTTGGGTGTGGGTCACAAAGGAATAGTGCAATACGCACCAGTTGCAGGGAGAGCGAATGCCCGAGACCTACGGCTACGTCCGCACAAGCTGCACATTTTCTCATCTGCGGTGACAACATCTAGTGGCAATGCTGATTCGGTCCGACGTGCTCGAGGGATACCTTTTCGCTCATCGCCTGGATCTTTGCTGGGCCGTTGCAGGAGAGATAATGATGATCGGCACCATCGGCCAGCCCTATGGCTGGCTCGAACTGCGGGCTGCCTATGCTTATCGGAGCGGTGAGCCTGTAGGAAGGGAGTATTCGGAGTTCAAGCCACCGGTTCCCTGGGCTGGCGACGGTTAGCAAGGTCAGCGGGACTCCGGTCAGGTGTTGGACCCCCGGCGAAAATCTACGATGTTGCGGGAACGGTCCCCTTTCCCGGTTTCGCGGCAGTCGACAATAGATTCAATCGGACCCGGTCTTTACCCTGCGTTATAATGCCGCATATCATGGTGGTTTCATTTTGGTCCAGGATGGGTCTCCGTCGCGACGCTGTGGTTTGAATGTCGGGGCATGGCGGGGGCTTGGAGCTTGTTCAGGATGAAAGAATTAGCGGCGCCGGCCAGCCCGGAACTTGCCCTCCCTCCATTCGCGGTAGGTCTCGGACTGACCCAGTGCGTTTGCCCGCTTGGCTAGCCGTGCTCCCTTTTGGGGGTCTCCTTGCAGGAAAGCGCAGTGTGCGGCGACGTCCAGTGCCATGACGTGCTCCGGTTGAGCCGAGATGACCTCATCGAGTTCTTCCAGCGCCTCGCCATAATATCCGCACCGGTATCGTGCGACTCCCAGGTTGAATGCGCATTTCTCAATGAGGCAACAGGTTCCGGCAAGAATAGTTGACGCGGGACACGGGGAAGCGCGACACGTTCATGTTGTCTATGGAGGGCAAGGAGCTAACTCCGCCCTTCAAAGGATTCTCGAAGCAGGATTGGCAGGACCTGGAGAACACTGAATCACGAAGCTTCACGATGAGTTTCAGTATCCCTGACGAGAAGGCCGTCGCCGCGTCCTCACTGAAGTCCGCATATCTTGCTGTGTTCTCCCTGCTGGGATCGTCAGGTGGATATTCCTATATCCGGGGCGATGCCCTAACGGCCGCCCGGCAACTGCTCATGGAGCCACTCAAGGACGATGCTATCGGCGAGTACGTGATGAAGGAACCTGACGATGCTTCCTTCCAGGACATCATGCTGGTTAGTGAACCCCTGTCGTACTGGATGCTGAAGATCGCTGGCCACCTTGTATTCCTCCCGTTAGGTGGGGACAGTCGGACCAGCCAGCCCCTGAGGGAACTGCGAAGGTTGAGTGCAGGAGAACCCCTAGAGATTGCGGGCCTCGTGTCTTGGCCCTTTACTACGTCTGGGGAGTTCGGTACCGTTCCGGTTCATTTGGCTGGCGCCGACACTGCCAAATCTCTTGTAGGCGGTTGTATTTCCGGCACTCTACCGAACAGCCGCCGATTGGAAGGTACCTGCATCGGGCACTTAGGGGAGTCCGCCACGTTGCTGTGCTCGGACGCGGTGATCCGCCGCACAGGGGCGAAGACGGCTTAGCGCTGGGCCAAGCGGGTTTAACCAGCGAGGACAGGTGCTGAACAGGGTTGGCTACCTCAGGCCATAGGCGTCAGGATTGGCCCTTCTCCATCTGCTGCTTGGCGAGCTCGGCCTGCTTTGGATCGCTGAGCAACTTGGCGACGGCGACCTCGATGGCCTGGGCGGTTTTACTGCTGGGTTGCCACTGGTGGCGCAGTGTCCGGCGCGCGGCTCGGGACTGGTTGTCGCCGGGCGTATTGGACATGATGCCGCTCTTGTCGATCAGGTCTTTGCATTCCTGCTCGGCGGTGTGGCCCAACTTACTGAGGCGGCTGTGGAGTGTGTGCGTGAGTCGTAGCGCGGGATGGGCAATTTCCAGCCGTGCTTTTCGAAGTGCCTGATTTTCTTGGCCCAATTGGTAGGACAGAACGGTTTCACCTCTGTTGCCAACCTCTCGCTGTTCAGGATTGCCAACAGGTAGTGGGCTTCGGCTTCCGACCGGCATTCTGTTTGGTACAGGGTTCGGTCAACAATGGCATGGCGATCCCGGATAATAGCAGCGGTGGGTTGTCCAGACTGGGTGTAAGCTACTCTGACGGTCCCGTCTCCGGTGGTTGTAACTCTGAAGTATTCCAGTTGGCTGGTCAGCTTTTTAAGGTGGTTCAGGTTGCTGTACAGGTCTTTGATGACCCGTTTCTCGTGAGCGTTACGGAACATTTCCGCAGCGTTGTTCCAGCGCCGTTGCATGCTTGAATGCAGGGCTGAGACTTCCAAATCGCAGTCGCCATGTTTGTCGTCACAGGAGTCGTGGTTCAACGGCATGGTCATGGTGGGACGGTGTACCGGCAGGGCGGCTTTCAGAGGGTAAAGTGCGACGTAGGGCGCGATGCACTCGCCTAGGCACACGTCGAAAAGATGGTCATTGCTGACCACACCTTCCAACTTTTCCAGCTGCCCTTCATAGGTGATCTTGTCCTGATCACCCAAGCGGGGTTTGACGTTTGTGGTGTTGGCTGCTGCGATCATTGCCGTACTGGCTATTTCTTCGACGAAGAAAAGTCGTCGGTCAGTGATCGTTGGCCCCTGACTAGACAGTTCGCCGTATGGGGACTTGAATTTGCCGTCGTCGTCGTGGAGCGGTTCGCTCGTCCTGGTGATGCAGGGATAGTTCTCTTCCCAGTTGCCGCGCCACACTTGGACCGTTGCTGGCGCCAGTTCGGTGCCTTGGCCGGCGCCGGTGTACTGAGCGAATACCACGCTGGCCGGCATGGGGAAGAAATCCGGTACGACGTTGTCCAGGTCCCAGGGTTCGTGAACCCGGAGGTTCAGTCCGATGTTGGGTGCATTGCGGCTGCCTGTTCGCTTGTAGTTACCGCCTCTCCATTTCAGATGCTGTCCGCTGCGTAGAGCGCTGTGAGGCAATACCATGCCGATAATGGCCTGTGGCTTGGCGTAGAGCTCGGCGCAGCGGGTGTAGAACAGGGTGGCAATGTCTTGGTGAGGGGCCATCTTTCCGCCGGCCCAGATCTGGTAGCGTTTTTCGCTCATGCTCCGGAGTTCGGTCCGGATGATGTCCGCACTCTGACCGTAGGTGAGCCAGGGTGGGTTGCCGATGATCCGGTCCACCTTTTCCTCGGCGATCATTGCCGGGCGGATCATGTTCCGGATGTAGTAAGCCCAGACGTGGTTGCGACCGGCGGCGTGCAGCTCCTTCATCAGGGCAGCGACGGCCTTGGTACTCTGTCGGCACTCATCGGTCATCTGGTATTTGTCGGCAACCCCTTTGGGGTCCTGTCCTTCGTCAATGGCCGCGGCCATCTCGGCGATGATTTGGTCAATCTCGGTCTGTTGCCGGGCTAGTTCTTTGGGGATGTTGAAGGTGATGGGATCCGGTTGGCCGGGTAGTTCCTCCCTGGTTTCCATCTCTATGGACTGGCTGGCGGTCAGGGTCCCAGTGTCGTACCGGAGTTGCATGGAGTCGCCCAGGTAGATGGGGGCACTCACGGCACCGCTGTCAGGGTCTTCTATCCGTGCTGCACGGATGGTTTCTGCGGCGGCCATGACCCAGGTGGCCTTGGCCAACTGGACGGCCACTGGGTGGATGTCGATGCCGACCACGTTCTCCTGCAGTTTCTTCAGCCTTTCCGCTGCGGTCAGTTCCCCGGCGTGCTCGAGGATCCGCTCGGCCGCCGTTTCGATGAATGTCCCGCTTCCGCAGGAAGGGTCCAGCACCCGTTGATCCAAGGGGTTGTCGACCACGGTCTCCGTGATTTCCCTGGCGAGCCACCTGGGGGTGTAGTACTCTCCCAGTCTTTTGCGTTCATCCTGCGTGATCACGTTCTGGTAGAGCGTGGGCGCCACTTCGGTTGGGTTGCGGGTCCAGTCGAACTGCTCCACAACTCGGGCAATTTCCCGGAGATACCCTGCCTCGTTCATCTCTGGGGGCCAGGTGAACAGGTCGGCGTCGATGATGCCGTGCAGGTCGGACTGCTCGGCCAGGATATGTCCCTTTAGCAGGGCATCAGGCCGCTGGGAGGCGTGGAGTGCCACGTCGCCCAGGAGCTGTTGCTGCATGATGAGGGCGACCAGGCTAGTGACGTAAGTGTGCCTGATGAACAGCCAGTCGCTTTCGTTGCCGTCTGTGGCGGCGCCCTTGCCTAAGGCGACCTGCAGCAGGTCCTGCCATAGCCGGCGCTTTACCGCAACTGTAGGGTCTCCCCGGTGTGCTTCGTAAGCCTCCTGCAAAAGCAGGTTGCTCGCTCGGAATACGTCTGAGTTGGTTCCGAAGTGTCTCTCCAGGTTCTCCGCGGTGGGTCTGATGTTCCCGGCAGGAGCCGTGATGACCTCGTGCAGGTACTCTCTCAGGAGGGGCACCTGTGCCGGTTGGCTGAATGTCCGGATTGCACCGTGCGGCAGCAGGGGCAGCTTCTCCTCGCCGATCCGGCGGAGGAAGTAATGTACGCCGTCGGTGAGGATGCCGTTCCGTACACCGGTTCCGGCTCTGAACAAGTCGTCCAGGTATCCGTCCAACTGGGAGACATATCCTGGAATTGGCACTCCGTCCCGAACGATGAATTTCTTGAACTCGATGCAGGTGTTGTGGATGTAGAGGTCCATACGGCCAGGGTTGCCAGCCCCTGGCGGACCTTCGGTGGACATTTCAGACGCAGCAGCGATGCCAGCCGTTTCCATGAAGCGCTGGAAGGCGTATCTGATGTTATTCTCGGACGCAGTGTTGTTATGGTGCCCTATGACAAGACCAAAGGCTTCCTGCTCTTTGGCCTCTCGCTCTTTTTCGGTGGTCATGTTTCCCCTCGCACTAGATCAGGGCTTGGGTGGGCGGTAGTCAGAGAGATCAAGACAAGTATCATAAGTCGCTTTGTCTATGGGCACCCAGGTGGTGTATGGGATTTCGAAGTGACGCCTGCCGGGCTGCTGAGGAAAGGCGGACTCGAACTCTACCCTCCGGTTTTGCCCTTGGGCAATCTCTCTGGCCACCGCTACTGCAGGGGCCAAGTCAGCGTCCTGACTCACGATGATAGCGACGTCATAAAGTTGCTCGTAGGTGGCCTGCACCAGATCGACTGCCAATCTAATGTCCACTCCTTTCTCTTGGCCGGCGGCGCTCAGTTCCTGCCGGTAAACTCTGACTTCTTGCCTGAGCTTGTTGTTCCAGAAGCCATGCCAATCGGCATTCTGAGATTCGCTGGGGACGCCCGTGTAGAACCGCACCTCCGTTAAGGTCCTTTCCGCTACCCTGGAGACGAGGGCATCTGCCAGCTTCACAACGTCGTAGCTGGGCCAGTGGTACGGGTAGACGCGCCCGTAGGCCCGCATAGCCAGGCGGTAGAGGTTTTGGCCCTCGATGAAGACCAGGGTGCGCATGGGCAAAAAAACACCCGCCCGGGGAAGGAGGCCTGAGCCACGCTCCAGCGGACGGGGAGTAATTAGTTAAAAGGGTATATCAGTATGATATATCCCGTCAAGATTTCGGGTTGTATTGTGTGGCTCCCAAGGTATATGAAGGATTGAGAGATGGCTCGACGAAGATCTGCTGGAAGTTCTGCAATTAAACCCCAGAAGCCTTACAGACTCAGACGATGGAGGATGGATACCCCGACAGGGCCCGCCTACTTATTTACGTGCGGTAGACTTGGACGAGAAAAGAGCAAAAAATCTAGCAGTGCCAGACGATTTGGTTCATCGGTGGGTTCTTGGCCTCCGAGGATCTAATACCGCAATTGTGTCTCTCTTGGGACGTAAACCTGATGGAACAAGTGAGTATTCGTTCAATTCTTTTTGTGGCGGATGTGACACAGAAGCAGAGCGTGGCAATCGGCAAACATTTCAGGAATGGTTGGAGACCCACCATAACAGCCTTGGCATTTTGGTTCGAGAACATCCGACCACTGATTATGGGCCGATCCATTTGGATACTCTTAACGTTGTGGCGGGCGACATAAGAGGGCTCAATTCGCAGCGCTATACAGTAACCATCGTGGACTCGGGCGGAGAAACGCGAACAGGAGAGGTTTGTGGGCACATTGGTGCGAAGGAGGATTCATCCAGCAACGTGTGAAATCGCCTTCTTTTGAGCAGGGGTTTGACCCTTGGCGCGCTTCAGTTGTCGTGTCCATGGCAGGCCTCAATCTGTTCAAACAGCGGGGCGAGCTGCTGGCCATCCAGCTTGCGTCTGATGACCTCGCGAACAGTCTTGCAGGGTTCGCAGCCGCAGTTGTCGGCGTGGTTGGAGTCCAGGACGGTCCTGACCTCTAAGTGGGCCTTCTCCTTGCCGTGGGCGTATCCCTAGGTATAGCAGGCGCAGGGCTCGGGGCAGTCGCATACTGGTCGGGCACCGTCAGTCATGTTGGCCTCCGCCAGGCTGTCTTCGGGAGGGGCATTCTGGTCAGGTCAGCCATTTGAGGGCCTCCCCGGCCGACTCGCCCCGGGTGTAACGGGCCACCATGTCGCCGTGCTTCCACCGGCCTGACGCTGCACCGCGGCGTTGGGCGCTCCCGCCGCCACCATGCGCCGGTCCATGCCGATGCGGCCGCTGTGTCCGCTGCAACCCGTCGCCCAGACCGGCGGCCCGCGCCGCGGCGCGCACCCGGTTGGTCAGGGTCTCTCCGGTCAGTCCGAACAAGGGGCGGCGAGGTCAACATCATCGGGCCGGATATCCCGCAGGGCGCGGGCGGTTGCCGCGGTGACCGCCACCGTGGCCGGTTCTACCTGGTTCTTGCCCTTCTGGATGGTGAGACGGCCGGTGCCGTCGGCCCACAGTTCCACGTCGCCCCAGGTCAGGGCGGCGGCCTCGGAGCGTCTCAGCCCGCCGTCGGCCAGGACCCCGATGATGGCCAGGTCGAGGGCGGCACGCCGTCGGGCGGTGTCTGCTGACTCCATCGTCCGCCGCGGCCTCTCTTGGGCAGGCGTAGGACTTCGCGGACCCGGGCCAGGGCGTCGGCAGTGAGGGCGCCTGCCTGCCTGGGCGGCGGGGCCCGGTCGCGCCACCCCTTGACCGCCTCGGACACTACCGGGTGGAGGGCCGGGTTGTCGCCCTTCCCCATCCCGATAACAACCGACATGGCGGTTGTCCCTGAACCCTTCGGGGCCAACAATATCCTTACGGTACACGCAGGCGTGCTGGAGATGGCGGTTCATGTCCTGGGCAACTCCCGGCACATCAGCCGCAAGGAGGAGGCCGTTGACGCCATCGCCAAGATGTGCAGGGCCGTTCCCGCCATCGACGGCGTGAAATTCACCTACACCCCGCGCGATGACCTAACCGTTCTCCCGCGGATAACGTCGCGCGATTATCGGGGGCCGGGGGCGGGACTACGACCTGCGCGGGCCCGAAACTTCGTCTCCGACATTCTGCACCGTGCTGGTGGACTGTCCGTTTCCTGCCGGGCAATGACCTCCGCTCGGTCAAAGCGGACAATCGAAAACGCTCTCGACCAATCAAGGCGGATGACCCCGACTTCAATACGAGATTGAGATGCCACCCGACCCGAACACCGGGTATCACCGTCTGATGGAGCCTTTCGACCTGCCCAAAGACGAGTACATCCTGGACGCCGTTCTTGAGCAGTACGACACGGTACAGGGCGAAACACGACGGCGTGGGAACGGTACTGCCCGGCTCCTACACCGGCGACGATACCTGCCATCTGTGGCGGGCCGGCGTCCCTGCCTTGCTGTATGGCCCATGCGGCGGCTCGGAATCGGCTACCATCCCCGACGAATATAGCCGTATCAGCGACATGGAGCAGGTCGCAAGTTCTGCGCCTTACACGCCCTGACGTTTGCAGCCTGCCCAAGTAGGGTTACCGGGGCCGGTTCGTGTTGTTGTACGAGCCATCCGGCATCGCTCAGAGCTTGGCGGCGCTTGTGGGTGATTACAACTGGGCTTTGCGTCAGAGAGTTTCCGTTCGCTTTGACTGATTGCGGTTTGGGGTGACCGCGCAGTACCTAGGTATCATCAGAACCGAACGGAACTAGAAAATGGTCAGCCCGATACCGGCGCCGCCAAGGGGCGGGAACCGGGGAGGCGTTCGTAGGGGCCGGGCAGTCCCAGTTCGTCGGCGATGCTGCGCATGGCGGGCAGCACCTCGTCGCCCAGCAGCCGGATGCTGGTCATTCGGTCTTCGTGGCTGACCGGGCCGTGGTGGTGCCACAGGGAGAATATGCCGGGGCGGACCGTTTCCAATATATGCCGAATTTTGGGGATAACGGTATCCGGCGTGCCGCAGATGAGTTGCAAGTTGTCCTGCTCGGCTTGGAACCGTCCGTAAATCTGGTTCCGGTTGGCTTCTATTCCTTCCGGAGTATCAGCGGGCTTCAGGACCAGCGCTTCATCGCCGCTGTTGGGATCTACTGAGACCCGGGCCAGTCGGCGGGTGGCAGCTTTCGAGTTATAGCCCGGCGGGAACATCCACTCGGGCCGGGCGAAGGCGTTGATGCCGCCGCCGTACATGAAGGCGCGGCCCAATTCCTGGGCCTTCTCCTCGGTCTCGGCCACCACTACCCGCTGCAAGTAACCGAAATTCTCCGGCCCGGACTCGTATCCCTCCTCGGCAGCCGTATCCCGGTACAGCTTCACCATCTCCAGGGTCGGCTCCAGGAAAGTGCCCAAGGCAGGTAGGGATAGCGGTGGCGGGCGCACCAGACCACCGTCTCCTGACTGACCAACCCCGGTATCCACATCTGGGGATGGGGCTTCTGCACCGGCAGCACCCACGGGTTTACGTGGCGGTAGTGGTAGTGCTTGCCCTCGAAGCGGAAGGGGCCGGGTGGTAGTCCACGCCTTGATTACAAAATCGTGGGCCTCGTTGAAAAGCTCCCGGTTGTAGGCGGGATTGGCGTTGTTGTAAATCGACTCGCTGCCCGCGCCCTGACCCAGCCGGGCACCAGCCGCCCGCCGGAAATCATGTCTATCATCGCCAGCTCTTCGGCAAGGCGCAGCGGATCGGCCACCGGCAGCGGGTTGCCCAACAGCACAATCTTGACTCGCTCGGTAATCCGGCCAGCACCGCCGCCTCAATGTTCATCACGGCGCCCATGCAGAAGGGCGTGCCATGGTGCTCGTTGAGCATCACGCCGTCGAAGCCCTTCTCTTCAGCGTAGACGGCCTCATCGAAATAGGAATTGTAGAGTTGGCCGCCTACTTCCGGGTTGAAATGTTCGTTGGGGATGCCGAAATAGCTGGCGTTCTTGATAATCTCGTCTTCGGGAACGTCGTAGTAGGGGCGCTCGGTGAACATCATGATGTGCATGGCGATGCCTCCTGCGTCTTACTCTTGCGCTAGGAATCCTCGAAGCCGGCTGACGAAGTGCTCCGTTTGCTCAATCTCCGGCCGGTGTCCGCAATCGTCAAACACTGCCAGTTCGGAGCCTGCGATGGCCCTGCTGTACGCTTGGCCCGCCGAGAGCGGGACAATCCGGTCGTCGCGCCCCCAGACAATCAGGTGGGCAGTCCCTGCACGCCTTGCAGCAGACTGGGCAGGCTGGGATTGTGCATATATGGCTTCCAGGCCAGACGGGCCGACTCAGCCCGCGCGTCCTCCCAAGCCTCGAACTGTTCCGGCGTCTCCTCCCTGCCGTAGAGGGATGCAAACTCCGGCGTGGCCGAGGCGTCGTGGACGCTGGCGTCCAGATACGCTCGCGCTGTGACCACGAACAGGTCCATAATCTCGCCTTCCCCCGGCCTCAGACCAGTGGGGGCCACCAGCACCATGCGGCGGAACTGGCCGGAGTTGGCCGCCGCCATCTCGGCGGCAATCCACCCGCCCAGAGAGAAGCCGATTACGCCCACCGGCCCGAGGGCCATCTCCCGCAGCATCCGCGAATAGAAACCGGCCAGATCTCGGACGCTGCTAATCCAGTCGGCCCGGGGGAGCGGACCGAATCCCGGATGCACCGGCACCAGCAGTGAATGGTCCTGGGCTAGGTCGTCGTGCCAAGAGAGCCAGCCGGGGTGTCCCAGCTCCTCGTGTAGCACCAGCACCGGTCGGCCCGAACCGCCCCGAAGCAAGGCGACGCCGGTGCCGCCGACGTGAATCGTACTTTCGGTGTATCCATTGGAGGAAATTGTCATTGTCCGACGCCTCCCCGGCAATGTTGGCGAAATTCGACTTTACTATATTAAACCAGCACCACATTCTTGAACGGGCCCAAGAAAGTGTCAAGACGAACCGCTTATCAGGAGTTCATCGCGGTAATCGGGCATCACCACAAACATGGAATTCGACTGCTGAGGCAATCTGGCGATGACGGTGAGATGTTGCCCGCGGTAGTGGGCCAGCGCATTTATGGTGAGGCAACAAGGGTAAAGGGATACGTGGACCAGGTGGTCATCAGCTGCGGAACCGAGGTCATCGCCCGGCACATCCGTTCCTACGAGCGGGACGACTTCGTCCACCATCCAACCCACTACCTGCCGCTCTTGGAACGGAAGCCGGGAGCCCTGGATCAGGCCGCTCCGCTGCACGGATGGGACCTCCCCGAGGAGTTCGGGACGCTGCGCCGTCTGCTGGAACCCCGCATGGGACGCAGGGGCAAGCGTGAGTATGTACAGGTGCTCAGGCTGCTGGAGACTTTCTCTCTTGAAGAGGCGCACACAGCCGTCGGGGTGTTCCCGGGGAGGAGTCAGGTGTCGATCCGGGCGAAGTTGGACACATCACTCAGGCCGTGAGCGTTCTTAGCCTTGACGTGGTACCGGTACCTGGCATTCAGGTCGGTACCGGTGTCCGTATAGGTGGTCGCGGTGTTGCCCATCTCGGAGACGTAAATGATGAGAGTTTCCTCGCCCTCCTTGGGCCTGCGCAACAGGACATGGTAGCCGGTTACTGAGCCGTCATCGGGCGCAGACCAAGTGAGGATGATCGAGCCGTCCGAGTTGAGGGTTGCTGTCAGACCCGGGGCCAGCATGTGAGAGGCGTTCGGCAATCCAATGCCGCACTGTCCCCTCGACGCCGGTTCATCGCCGCGTCATCGGCTGACAGCTGAACTCAGAGGTCTCCTCAACTGGATGACCAAGGACCCGGCAGGGTGTCCGAAGTGTTCCAACACCCGCGGGCGCGCCCGGCGATCAGGGCCCCTGTCCCATGGCAGGAGGCGAAAATGCCCGTGTCCCCGATGGGCCGGGGCCGGTTCAGTTCCCCGGGCGCCCTGGAGAAGTGGGGCAGCTTCCTGCCCCGTATTTCCAGAATTCTCTCGAAGTCCTCGGGGTGGCTGTCATGCATCATCAGGCAGACTTCCACCAGCAGGCCGGACCAGGACGTGACCGTCCTCGTCTCAGAATCCAGGGTGAAGGAGGACGGTGTCGAGCGGAGGCCGCCGCCCGGGGCCGGACGCCGCGGCGCCTTCGGCGCCCGGTGCCAGCAGCGCGGCGCGGTTCTCCGCCAGTACCCGGCGGACCAGCCGGTCGTCGGGACGGTGGCCGGCCCTCTGCTCTGCAGCGGTGGCGACCAGTCCGATCAGACCCTCGTCAAGACCGCCGACCACCTGGCGCCAGCCTTGGAGTATGGCCCGCCTGCCCACCGTTTCCCGGTTGCTGTCCCGCAGCGCCCTTTCCGCCGACCTGGCGGCCTGCCCGTTGCACACCCTGTCCTTGGTCAGGTACCGGTTGACGTCCTCCGCCGCGGCCTCCGGGTCTCCCCTGAGGTCGATTTCACAGAAGCGCCTTTCCATCCGGCCGCCCCCGGGCGACCACAGGAAGAGCAGCCAGCGCAACCCGTTGGTCAGCGCCGCCAGGGATACCTCCTCCCGGGCGCAGTGGGCCAGCAGTTGCCGCTCCAGCTGGGGACTCTCGATGTTTTCGCCCGGCGTCCTCACGTCAATGAACACCCTGGGCGAGACTGCTCCTCTGGGCCGGCCTGGCGCAGGCGGCATCAGGGCGAAGTCGACGCTGCTGTTTCCGGTGACGTATCCCGGCATCACCTGCGAGAGGTCGAAGACGTCCCACCCGGCGGCGGCCAGCAGCCTGAGCACTACGGCCTGCGCGATGGCCGCCTTGCTCCGCTCCTCCAATGATGGCATGTCTCTGATCCCGGAAACCGCCTGGGCGATGGACTCCCTGTAATCGGCTCTCAGCATCTGATGAATTCTCTTGTCTGATCGAAGGTTTGGGCAACGGCAGCGCGGTTT